AGAGAGAGAGAGAGAGAGAGAGAGAGAGAGAGAGAGAGAGAAAGACAAAGAGAGCGATGGATCTTTGAGATGGCCGTACAGAACTGCTCCCGAAATTTAAAAAATATCGTAAATATCTGACCACAATTCTGAGAGTGTCCCACAAAGACAGAGGGAGGAAGGGAGACGTTTCGGTTGTCTGATTTCGCCCTCAAACTGTCAGCCGAAACGAAAGTGTCGGTGGAGGTGGAAATGTGGCTTTCTAATCAGTGTCGGTTCTCGATCGGAACAGACGGGTGGCCGCCTCGCACGCACTAGAGGCCGGCAAAATCCGGAGAAATATCCGGATAATCGGATAATCCTCAATAAGAAATTATCCGAATTCAGACTCGTTAACTCTTTTTTCCTGACCCGTTTGCCGAAGTGGGTGCACCCATTTGTTGAAGTGATGCTAACCCGTTTGTCAAAGTGGTTCTAACCCATTTGCCGAAGTGGGTGCACCCTTTTTGTTGAAGTGATGCTAACACGTTTGTCAAAGTGGTTCTAACCCATTTGCCGATGCGGTTCATAATTTTTTTTTACCAAAGAGATGCACTAGCATATTATCCGGATTTTGCTACAGCGACTCATTGCCCAGTCCTCGCACGCACTCTCTTTTATTTCAGCCCGCCGGCTCGCGACCTGAGCAGGCCAGTGGTCACTCAAGGAATAATTGACTTGTCCTGGCGCGGAAGAAAAAGAAGTCAAAAGTACTACTGCTTCAGCGAAAACTGAGATGGGGTCAAATTAATTCTGTGGACGATTTGCTTCTTATCCCTTTTCGCCGGTCGCAGTTTTGTTTTTTGTTTTTTTCGTTCTGTTTGATTCATATTTTTTTTAAAAACTAAAAAGGGCAAACTTTTGATTCCTATTATTTTATTTACAAACTAAGAAAGGCAGATGTTTGAATTATATTCTTTTTATAAACTAAGAAAGGCAAACTTTTGATTATTATTTTATTTACAAACTAAGAAAGGCAAATATTTGAATTATATTTTATTTACAAACGAAGAAAGGCAAACGTTTGATTCATATTATTTTATTTACAAACTAAAAAAGACAGGTATTTGATTCATATGATTTTATTTACAAACGAAGAAAGGCAAACGGTTGATTCATATTTTAATTATAAACTAAGAAAGGCAGATGTTTGATGCAGCATGATTTTAAAAAATCGATTGGGGTATCTCAGGGATTCCAATGTGTTTGTTTTGTTGAAAACATTATCATGTCCAGCCCCGCCCACTCCTCGACACTTCGATCAGACCAATCTGACAGACCATTCATGCCAGTTATTATTACAAAAAATGTCTTAAAGGTCTTTCTTTCAAAATCGTTTAATTGTAATCTAATAATTTTGAGTTTATGAGAAAGATAATCAAAGAGTATTTTTGTTGATATAACAGTAATATAAGGTCTCATAACAGCGGTCGGAAAGAACGTCATTTAAGTTCTTAAGATACAAAAAAATGCTCTCAAGCTCCTTAAATTAATGATTCTAAAGTATAATCTAGTTGTTATAATTTTAAATACAAATTAAGCAAGCAATTTCTTTATAATTATTATATTATATCTCAAGAGGTGCTCAAATTTACCACGGTTTTAAAAGTACAGTGGGTGGTTGGAGGGTGCTCTGGTGTGGTTTGCTCCTTCTTTCCCATCGAACATCTATCATCCTTATCTCCCCTTCTTCTTTTTTATGTTTGTTACTCTCTTGTAACACCTCTTATCTTCTGGCGCTTATATGACCTTATGCTGTTGCGAGCACCGTAAAACCTCTATTAAAACTAAACTTAAAGGTACAAAAATGTCTCACTGTATTCTGCCCACAGACAGACCACAGAGCACTAGCTTTGTGTGGACAATGGCCAGCCTCACAGACGTCCTGTCTGTAAGCCTCCGGGGAGGTCCAGGCAAAACCAGGCTCCAATCGGCCATTTCCGGTGACCGGAGACAGGCTCTAGCATTGAGCCAGGAGCCACAGAGGGCAACGAATTCAGTCTCCTCATTTCCCCGAACCCCCATACCCCCCC